CCCTGAAGCCTTACATTTTACCAATGAAACCATTGTTAGACACTGATCTTTTTTATGCTGTGTAATCTCTGTGCAGTTTAAATGTGTTTCTTTTAGCTAATTAAAACAATAGTTTCTTTAAACCATAGCTATACATAGATTAAAACATAGATTTCACAGAGTCTTAGCTCCAGGTTTGTCTCCTCATTTTTGTCTTGACACAGTTTGGTGCACAGAGTTATGCCAAAATGAATTCACCAGCACTTAGTCCTTTTGTTAGAAGTGCACCTCTCTCCAGACTTTTCTGTCTCTTAGAACAAAGCTGTGATTGGCTGCTCTTTTTCTTCTTGTTATAATAACAGGATTTGGACATATTTTCTGAGCTGGCAGGGAAGTTTTATGAGATTTTCTTTGAACCGCTGCCGTTCTTTCTGAAGTTAAGACTTTTTACTTTGAATGCATGGAGCTAAAAAGCAACATATTCAACACTTATAGCAAAACCAACAATATTTCTGGTGTTTTGTATGTTTATGGTGACATGCATCAAACATGGCTTTAAGTTCTGTATTTTTCCTCAGTCCTTACAGGAAACTGTATTTTGATCAAGCTTTGTCACCCATACTGCTTCTGGTATTCTTAACTTAGTGTCCGTTTTAGGTAAATAAGTGAAATTGAATGAAAGACGGCAGACCAGGCCTTTTTTACAGAGCAGAATCAACCTGTATGAATGTTTTTCTTGGGTTATATATGAATAATGCTTGTATATCTGATGCCAGAGGATTTTTACATGGTTATCCAACACAAACAGCTGTATAATTAACAAGTGAAAAGAAAATCCAACAACTTTCCTTCTATTCAGCCCAAAGTTCTCTTGAACCACTTAACAAAACTCCACTTTAACCAATCACTGTCATAAATCTTTTATCAGTAAAGGGAGTCAACCTGGGCTGATCAACCTCTGTATAAATGTTGCTGTTCTCTGACAGTATGGGAGGTTAATTAGAGAAAATCAGAGAACAAACAGCATTAAGAGGACTGAGGAATGCCTCAGAGAGATAAGGGAGAAGCTTATAGTGTAAAACAATGATCTACAAATTCAAGAAACTCAGTTTGCCATAAAGTGAAAGGAGAGCATTGGCTAGAGAAGCTGAGATTAAAAACTTACAGTGACAACTATTGGTATACTTTATGAATCTAGCCTTGAAGACTGTCCTAAAAATAAAATAAGGTAGTGGCAGCATCACACTGAGCACTGAGGGGAAACTTTTTTCAGGAGGGACAGGTCGATGGGTCAGGGTTGATAGGGATTTGGACTGAAGTACTGTAATCCTGAAAGAAATCCCGTTAGAGGCTGACAAAGACTTTTACCAAACTCGTTTTTAGTAAGAAACTACAGCCTAAACTATTCACAATAGCCTCAATAAGTTGTTACATTTAGGCTGATTTTGCACTGTTTCTACCCTAGTCAGTTAAATTGCATGCTGCTGTCATTTTGCACATCTCCATTACCTTAAAAAATGTCCATAGATGTATATTGGTTATTTATTCTCCAGGTGCACAGTTTTTAAATTGTTAAAAACTTAGAAGTGCAGCATTTTATTCTTTATCCTTTAGCTCTTCACTATTATTTTTATTCTTATACGTTTTTCTAAGGTCCATATTTTTCTATTTTCTTTGTGTTGCTGTAAGCACCAGAATTTCCCCATTGTGGGAGAATGAAGGGATTTTCTATTCTATTCTATTCTATTCTATTCTATTCTATTTTTTTCTATTCTATTCTATTAAGGTATCAAGGTGTAAAAGTAGCCTAGTCCAGACCTAAACTAGTTAAGGATTGAGACTTGACTTGAATGTAAACAAATATTTACATCTGACTAAGCTGTAGCTATTTCAGACATATAAACAAAATTGTATACTTTTTGTTAACTGCTTGTTGGTCAGTTATCTAAATTCCAATAAATGCAAAATTGCAAAAAATAAAAAAATAAATATACAAATGTTTTATAGCAATGCATGGTTTTAATAAGTGCCTATTACTTTGTCCTGAATTCTGGGTGGAAAAGTTCCAAAGACGACTCAAAACATCATTTAAGGTTGTATTTCCATCTTCCTTGGTTATTTGAGTTCCTGTTTTTAGATTCTGTTGAGGCTTATTTTTCAGCTTTGTGCTGTTACAACTCTTACCTCACCATTGTCATTTTTTCACTTAAAGCAAACATTTCTTATCCCTCAGAGATATGATAGAAAGGAGTCTAACTTAAAGAAAAACAGAGAAAAGGCCCATCGATTGGACAGACCAAAGCACCAGTTATCAGCCTTATCTGTCTCACAGACATGCACGAACAGACACACATGGGTCCTCAGTCTTGCTGGGCCCTGAGCATTATACGTTGATGTCTGAGACTGCTTGTTTTTACCCATCTGTCTCTAAGGTTATTGCTGTGCACCATGGAAGCACAGGATATTTGACAGTCCCCTGCCAAAAGGAGGGCCTGGGGGTGTTGGGGGAACAGGGAGAGTTGCCACTGACAACTTGGAGATCTCCAAAGTGACCATCTGAAAATGAAAAAGGAGAAAACTTATTAAAACGGGGGGTCAAGGGGAAGCCATGGGGGTAAATCTGTCACACTTTTTTTGAGAAAGGGTCAGTGCTAATTTAGAGCTTTGGTAGCAATAGCATGGAGATGACTAACATTTGAGCAAATGAAAAATAGTGTCTGTGGACAGGCGCTGAGAAAGTTGGTTTAATCCTCTATATTAAAGGCACAGACGACTAGCCTGGGCAAAAGAGTGAATCATACAGTGCAGAACAATAGAAAGTATATTGAAATCATTGTGGGGGGAAATCTGAGCTTTGCAGGCTCAAGAGGAGTCCCCAGCCTGTGTCTGCGGATCAAATCGTCTGCAAAGCTAACAAATAAACACAGAGGCCGAAGGCGATGACTAAGAAGCAGAGTCAGCGGTTGTTCGCAGGGCAACACAATCGTAAAGATCCAGGAGCTGCATTGTTTAATTTTTATTTGCCTCAAATGTGTATTGGAGGCCAGTGGAGGAAGCCCTTTCTGCGTTCTTGTTTTATCACAGTTATCCTCTGAACATATGTGTGTGCATAATTTTTGTATGCAGGAAATGGGAGGGAGCAAAGACAGAGTTGTTCATCAGAAGCGCACATGTTTTTTGTTTCCTACATTTGCTCTCCTCCCCAATAATGCAGAATTGCCTAAGTCGTACATACAGCTGGAAAAAAAACAACATACATCTCTTTCACCGTTGACAAAGTAAGGAGGGGGGATAACTAGTTTTCTTTTTCTAAATTAGGCCTTCATGCTCTTTATGTTTGCTATTGTCTGAGTGCATTCACTCCTCTATAGGCTGGACAAGCCGTGCGTGGAGGCCGGAAAAAAAAGGGTGGCCCGGTGCTCTTTGATGTTTATGGTCTGCTGTCAGCGTATTGTCTCTGAAGTCTTTTTGTTGTCCCTTTGCCCTAATTAAGACCTCAGAGCGACTTGTTGACTCCACAGAAACCCTTATTTGGAGAGAAGGGTGGAAGCCATGTGTTTCCATGCATCAACCGAGTGTGTATGTGTTTAAATGTATGTCTGTTATGACTGGCACATTGCGTGAGAGATGTTCACAACAGCACAGAAACACACACGACCCATTTACACAAAGCAAAGGCTTTAACACAAGAATGAGGTTATTCATTTATAGCTGGAGATGCCTTTGAATGGAGTGGAACGGTACTCCACCTGCAAGAGAAGGAAAACCAAAATAAGCTTTAAACATTCTTATTCACTGATTTAGTTGGTTTATATAATATTCAAAATCTCTGAAAACAAATTTGTCACTAACTTTTAAAAAGCTTCCAGAGCCTTCTCTATCGCTGCTCCTTGTATATGAAATAGCCTCCCACTGTACATTAGGGAGGCTCCTTCCCTGCCAAATTTTAAAGTATTGCAGAAAAGGCAAAAAGTGGACACAAAGAACACTCTGAATAACACAGTTCTTTTCTTTTTTTTTTTTTTTTTTATACAGTGTCCTGTCTGGCAATGTGGCAATAAGAATAATTGTCTTGATGCCAAAAAGAGCCCAACAGATTTTACTTTCACAAGTGTAGCAGTATGGCAATTGCCATATTGCTCCACTTGTTTCATGCATATAAATTGCTTTATTATAATTATGCAGGGAGTTTTACAGTTTATATGGATAATGCAATGTAAGTAGAGCAGAAAAACAGAAGAAGAAAAAGGAAAAAAGAGAGAAAAAAAGAGAAAAGATGAAAGAAAGAGGAGATAGAAAGGAGACAATGACAAAACATTTTCAGTCTGCTTCATCACCTGTAACGAGATGAAAAAAGAACAGCACAACCAAACGACATGGTACGAGATATACAATAAAGCAACACCTTGAAACTATCGCTAAAGTAATATTATTAAGTCTGAATGTGTGAATAACACAGTTCTAACAAACTCTCCTTCTTTCTGTGCTTTGAGCATATAACAGGAGTACTAAATTCTACTTTAGTTTGTTGCATAAGTTTTGTTCAGTTACTTTTTTTTAGATAACCTTTCTGAAATCTGGTTTGATTTTTAATTTGGCTCACTTAGTAGTATTCAACAACCACAGCCCATCCAGTCTGTATGTGGAGTACTGAAAATGTCCTGCTCTGACTGCAACTGGGGGGACTGCTTTGTGAAGACTGGGATATTTTAGTGCTTCAAAAAGCTCCCACTTCTTGTTAGCAAGAATATATATAATATACCATTTCCAATAGTTTTCCATAATAACACTAAAAATGCTTTAAACCCTGTGGCAGCTGTCCTGGGGTCAAATCTCGAGCCGAGACCTTTAAACCTTGTCTGCTTGTCGTTCTCCACTCCTTCAACCCATTTCCTGCCTATCAACTCTCAAAAAAGAGAAAGGGTATAGTCTAAACATTAAAATAAATATAATTTTATTTTTAAAACCTATCTAAGAACTCCCTAATAGCAGGATTTCTTGATGTTTTGTATAATACCAGCTAGCTTTGAACGTTCCTTTCCTCAATAACTATGTCAACATGGAAGAACATTGTTTTCATGACTAAATGCATATTAACTGGTCATCAGTTATTTGATTTGAAGATTGAATATTCATGGTTTCTGAGAGGCTAGTCATCCATAAGAGCATATTAAGGTAAAATAATCTGATTACAGGATCTCCTGCCAATTCCCAACTGCATCTTTTGTAATAACCAATGTATTTTACAATTCAAAAACCCATTTGACCAATCGCCAGCTACAGGTTCCTTCCAAGCCTTTTTATAGCTTTTTTTCCTTCTGTTCTGCATGGTCCTTATGACAGATGTTTCACTGAGATGTTTCAAAACAAGCCCAAACAGCAATCTCTTAAAAAAGCAAACCAAATTGCATGCAAGAAAGCGATCATGGCATGCAAGCAGAACTGCATGTGTGTTGTTTACATCCACAGGTTTTAATTTCAGTGTTCCACGGATCCCCAGGATTGGGCTGTTTTTTGTGTTGACACAGATGTTCAGCTCTGAGCCGAGGGACGTATGTTTTTTGGACTCTTAGCAATGCAGATGGAATCTGTTTTCCCTCTCTTTCACTCCGCATAAGGTTGCAGATTTAAAGCTGTGACCAAAAGGTCAAGCTCAATGAGTGGGATGCAGTGGTTGGAGGTGCGATGTGTGTTTACATACTATTTTTGTTCTCGTGTTATTTTACATTGCATTAGACTCAAGTCTTTCCCTGTTGCACAGTTTATACAATACCTGATGATCCTCAAAATATTTTAATTGAACTCAAGTGTACATTTATGTCTTAACTGAGAACTAAACATATACTGAGCAACAATCTCTTGTTTGTAACTCTATTCTGTCTCTTCTTTTTTATTTATCCCAGGTTATCCCATTCCCAGAGGTCTGCTGTGAAAGTCCTGCGTAGAATGCAGTATTTCGTTGCCAGGAGGAAATTTCAGGTAATATAAAGAAAAATCCTGAGAAAAGGAAAAAAAAAACAGGGTTCAGAGGGAAGTCAGATGAAAAGGGCAGATGTGTTATGTATGTGGTTGTAAAGGAGGAGAAGGGTAAGGAAAACATTTATCACCTGCAACAACGCTGCAAAAGTGTGTTTGTGCCCCGTCACTGAGCCCCGAAGTGAGCATTTCAGGAATCAAAGTTAGATTTTGTTAGATCTGGTTTAGATTGCAAGAGCAGAGGATCAAGTAAAAAGAAAAAAAATCTAGCCCTAATTAAAATGACTCACCATTTATTTGAAAGTCCTAAAACTCTTGTAATATCCAAATAAATTAAACATGATTCTATTTAAAAACCTCATGTCTGCTGTGATATATGTGATCACCAAGTGTAAACCAGTGGCTAACTCTCCTGAATACACAGAAATTTCCATCAATTTAAAGTTCTGTCGTTATCAGTTTTAGTGCTTATTAGGATCAGTGGAGTAGGAATCCATTCAGATAATAATAAAAGACTACAGGAAGCTCACTTACTTTTCCTTGTGAAAATATCGTGTTTCCTGTTGTGGAAGTAAGCATCACTTTTTTTTTTTCTGAGGAGATTTTCCACATGGTCAGCACTTTTACAAAAAAAAAGACTTTCATCTGAGATCACAAAACTTTTTCTAGACCTTACTTAAAACTCAGAAGATCCTGCAAGAGTAGGAAAATAAAAAAATCTTTGTCTTAAAATCCTTTACAGAGATTTGAGGAAAAATACACAAATAATTTAAAAAAGTAACCAGGCCCTTCTAAAACTTTCATGGGTCTAACAAACCTGTAGGATCTTGTTAGTGTAACTTTGACTCTTACACAACTGTTACGGGATCTCATAAACGTAACTTCGGCTTCTGCAGAAATTTCACGGGAACTAGCTACAGTAACTTAGACTCTTGCAAAATCTTTCTGTGATATTGGAAATGTGTTATTTATTAAATATTAGTTTGTCTGTGTTTACAGTAGTAATGGACCTTTAAAAACCAGATTCATGAACACAGTCACAGCAGTGCCTACCCCGCTTAAATGAAACCTGCATATATTTCATTTTTCAAATCTGTAAAAAAGAAATTGTGCAGAAATATAAGCTGCTACATGTATTTAGATCTAAGATACTTTAGCTTTGGGTTCATAGTAAAATACACTGTCATAATGTCCATATTAATGCTTTTTTCAGGTGTTCTGTATCTTTTCAATTATGGGCTAAGTGATCTCAGCTGTGCAGACAGGGATACCCTACAGGGTTCACCGAGTTCATTCCGATAGCCCCAGTGTCAACGTCACACTACACAAAGCTGTGAAAGGACCTGAACACGATTCCTCTCTACATGACCATGTGCCTTTCAGAGCCTACACACACATACTATATGCACACACATGCATACTCACACAAAACACACATTGAGCTCACAATGAACTCTTTGCACCCAAGGGGGTTGGGGGATGTTTTCGGGGGACCAAGCAACAAGAGATTGTGATTGACAATGGCTTTGTGTCCCACCATGTGTGTGTGTTTTTCTTGTGTGTGTGTTTGTGTGTTCATGTGTGTGGATCCGCAGCAAGCCCGGAAACCCTATGATGTGCGAGACGTGATCGAGCAGTATTCCCAGGGTCACCTAAACATGATGGTTCGCATCAAGGAGCTACAGCGAAGGTGAAAGCCTTGACTTTGTTTCCCCCTGTTTCTTATCTTACTATCTTAAAATCATAGTATACGTTTTATTTTGACTTGGTCAACCTTAAATCTAAGTAAACAATTAAAACACATAAAACATATATACACCGTATTTTCCAGACTATGAGCCGCTACTTTTTCCCACGCTTTGAACCATGCAACTTTAAGAACATGCAGCTTTTGTGCTGATTTTTCCTAATCACCAGAGGGGGAAGTCAAAGTTGGAAATGAAAGAGTCCATCAATCCATCCATTTTTCCATCATACTTATCCCAGCTGGGGTCATTGGGGTACTGGTGCCCATTTCCAGCTGTCTATGGGGGAGAGGCGGGGTCCACCCTGGACAGGTCGCCAGTCTATCGTAGGGCAACACAGAGACAGACAGGACAAACAACCACTCACAAACACACTCACACCTAAGGAGAATTTGGAGAGGCCAATTAACCTAACAGTCATGTTTTTGGACTGTGGGAGGAAGCTGGAGTACCTGGAGAGAACCCACACATGCACAAGGAGAACATGCAAACTCCATGCAAGAATACCCCAGGCCGGGAATTGAACCAGGAACCTTCTTGCTGTAAGGCAGAAATGCTACCCACTGTTCCACTAAGCAACCAGAAATGAAAGAATAAGGGGCTAATTCTTATTTAGCACAAGAACATGCTGGCAGCAGGCGCGACAGACAACAAATGTCCTGAATTCACACATTTTGACATTTATCTGCCGCATACAAGCTGCCGAACCAATGAAGAGACTGGGCTCAACTCCTGCAGAGCTTATCTAGCTTATGTATATACCACCTGGGAAAAATAAAAAGCTGCCACCTAAAAAAAGGAGGCCACAAACTAATATTTTGTTGTCTTTAGCTGTTATTCCATTCGCTGTGTCATTGTTTTGAAAATACGGAAACCGAGAGCGGTCGTAATCGACTTTTTCTTCGCCTTCTCGAGATAATGACATAACTATCTCGTTATGATGGTTAAACTATTCATTTTTTTCTCGAGATAACAAGATAATTATCGCATTGTCACAAGGAAACAGTTATTGATTTCTTGAGATAATGAGATAATTAACCTGTGTGACTAATGAATGAGGCTGGCCAACAGCTCTGCATTCCCAGTCCATCCATTTTAATGCTTTTTTTTATGAAACCCTTTAATCTGTTCTTATTTTGGGGGTTAATGCATTAATTAATTTGTGATGGTGACTTTTGTTTTGGTCAGGCAGTGTAGTTATTAAATCTTTCCTATAGTACATTACTGCATTTAAACTATTTTTTTTTTACCTTAATTAACACACATCTGCATGTTTATGTGATAAATTCTTGTCTTTCCTAATTTGAAAAATTTATAAAAAAAAATAAAAAAAAGAACTTATCAAGTATTATTAGGGGAACAGTTTGTGTTGTGTGGCTAATAAATATTCCTAGACATCATGAACTTAATGTTTACACCAAAAAATATGGGAGGGGTTTTTTGGGCCACTTATTATGTCAATATCATTTGTGAAACTCTTATCATGGCTGAACAAATAAGGTTTGATTTTTCTACATTTGTAATATGGCGGAAATGCAGTTAAAGATGAAATAACTTTGAGGCATCTGACAGATGTTTAGGAATGCCTGTAGATTTGGAAAGAGGTGCATTTTCTACAAAAATTAGAAAACTAAAATATATGATACATAAAAAATATAAAGTAATAACATTGAAAAAAGATCAGATATAAGAGGGGACAGGAATCTAAACTCTTGCTGAATATGTTTTGAGTCTTCTTAGTTCAGCTTGAATACTCTCATAAACTGATTATCTGTGTAAAACCAAAACCTCACTAAATTTTTATAATGGATTTCAAAAGGTTTCAGCTTAAAATATAAAGTAAAGGTAAAGGTATTTTTTTTGGCATTTTGTATGAGCAGTTTTGAAATATTTTATCATTATTTCAGTGATTGAAAATTAAATGCCAGACCTAAGATAAATGATATAAAACCTACAGAAAAAAGCCACCTCTAATATTAGGTTAAAAAGAAATAAAGCAACTTCATTGAAGCAAAATAAGCAATAAGACAAAAAATTATTCAGCTCTTCCCTGTAGAGATTTAGTTGAATATTCCTACCTGACTTCAGTTTTTTATTGATAGATTAATATGTGTGTTGTTGTTTTTCTTCCTTGCTAACCAATCTTTATAACATGCTGTGCAACCAGGTTGATCTCTATGTTAACTGCTTTAAACGTGTCTCTTCCCCCCAACCCCCTCCATTTTTATCTGCTCTCTCTCAGACTGGATGGCACCTTGGGGAAACCAGGAATGTTTTTACCAGGTAAACACCAAGGAAACAAACTAAATTTGACAGACAATCATCACCCTCCACTTTACCTCTATGTTTATGACCCACACATGCACATGCACTACCAGACTAAATACAAGAAAAATGGAGGTCCCTGATGTTTGTGCACACATCCCTGTGTGGATGTGGGCTTTTTTGCTCATCAGTGAAGCTTGTTGGACTGTTTGCTGCCACTTTTTGGCACTGTTGTGTAAATTGCTGTCAGATGACTTGCACTCAGTTGTTAAATAACTTTCTTGCTGTGTAACTGGTTCTGTCAGTTCTATCAACTCCTACTGAAGTGTCAGTTTCATCTAAATTACTGGCAGGATGAAAACCTGAACTGAATACAATCAAAGCCAATTAATAACTGTTCCTTCTGGCATGAAATGGGTAAAAACGATAAAATGTGTCAAGCTGAAGTGATAAAGAGGGTTTAAAAATAGAGTTTAGCAGTTATAAAGGGAATTTAGTATTGTATTTGTGGTAGCTAACTTTCTTTGTGTCTTTATTTAGTATAAATCCTAGTTACTTGGAAGCTGAGGCTAGTAGTTATTCCTTAGACCAAAGCTCACACTTACACTCTAAAAACTTTTACACTCTAAAAATTCTAAAAAAAATTCTCCAAAGCACAATATTTTGGGCTATCCTATAGCTGCTTCCTGGCTGGTAGTTTCTCAAGAAATCAAGTAAAGTTTAAAAAAAAAATGGAAGCTGTAAACCAACCTACGTTAAAAACATAGTAAGCATTGGAAAATAGTTTTTTGGTTTTGGGTTTTAGGAAACACCCTAATTACATATTTGACAATCTGAACTGTTTTTTTTCCTATTAAAGTACAGAATGTTGTCATTCACAGAGGGCCTGGGAGGATATTTTAGAAATGATAAAACATTACTTTAAAAGCTACAGGAAACTACATACCAAAACAAATGGCTTTAATACAGCTGCTAGACATGCCACATGCGGTATAATAAGCAGTGCTGCTCAGATACAAGGACCAAATATTTTCTATATTTTATCTGTTTTATTTGTTGTTTCTGCTTTTAAAAATATATTTGAAAAAAACTGAAAGTCACCTGTTGTTTTTTTTTGGACAGATAGCAATTCACACTCTGACTACTTGGTGGCATATAGCATATTTATTAGCATTTTCAGCCAGAATTTCCATTTAAAGAGGGTCCTTTCTTGATTAGGAAACCCTTCATCTTGTCGACTTGTGATCACCTCATTTGGTGAAGGTTTCCCCTGATATCAAAACTTTGACTGGAATGGGGCAGAGCATGGATTTAGACTCCAGAACATGAAAACGGTGAGGAGAACCCATCTGTGCAAGACAAAAGCCTCTAAATCCAACTTGGGACATTCAATTACGGACAAGCGGATGTGCATTCAGGTCCATGCAGTGCAGAAGGAAGTTATCAGATCTTTATTTTCACTGAAGAGAAAAAAAAAAATCATATGGTTGATGTGGATTATCCGATCATCTTTGTGGAACTAGATATTAATTAAAAGTAATGACAATAAATGTGCAGTATTTTAAAAAAAATCCACAAAGACCAGCCAGAAATACACTTTAAAGCCCATCACAGACTCAATGCATAAATAGGGAAATAATACTTTTTTCTAATGGGGAAAAAATTGCCCTCTTTTTGTAAATAAGGTAAGATGCTCCGTTCAGAATAAATCAAATTTTGGGGTGTGCTTCGGTGCGGCATTGGTTAGCGCGCATGACCCAAGGACGGAGGCCTTAGTCTTCGATGGGGCTGACCCAGATTTGAATCTGACCTATGGTCCTTTCCTGTCAGCCAACTGTAAAAACAAAAAAAGTGCGACTAGTGCCGTTAAAACCAAAAAAATTAGGTTATTCAAATATTTTACTATCTATCTACCTCAGAGGACATCATGCCTCTAAACACCTGTGCAGTTGTAGCTGCAGACTTTGAGACTTTTTCTCTCCTCTCAGGCCTGTGCACCACTGTCATTTTAACTTGAGGAGGGCAAATTTTCAGCAAAATCTCTAGAGCTTTCACTATGCATCTGTAAAAAAAAAAAAAAAAGAAAAAAAGAAAGAAAAGGTGATGGGTCAAAATAGATTAAAACAGAATTTCTTTTCACTGTCAAAATGACAGTGAAAAATGAATGTGCAACTTCTAAGCGGTACGCATCGCTGCGCTTGCACTCGGGTGCTGACTGGGATAGAAGGCAATTTGCTTTCATATTTAGGGGGAGGAGTAGTCACAAATGTAATGAGAGTTAAACATGTCTTTCCAGTCAGAGTAATGATGAAATTACATAAAAAGCTAGCATACTATAGCAATTTGATTGAATGTTATTTTAGAGATTTTAACATTTCCTAATTTTCAAATCAATAACATTATCAACCTGTTCATTACATCCTATGTAATTTCATCAATTATTCTCTAGATTTAGTCTACAAAGCTCCAGTGTTTTTTTTTTAAGTTATGTACTACTGTATTGTACATATCCTCATTTTGCATGCCTTTACATGTCATTCAGTGTTGGAAATGAGTGATACTGATTATAGTTTAGGTTCTTCTAAAGTCCATAAAAATAAATTATATGTTCAATGACAAATACATTCTTCTGCTCTGAATTTTGTCTCTATTGGATAATTGCCAAGATACAGTATGTCGGTGAGTTGTCATCATGTAATGTCAGTTAAACTAAAAAGTGTTTTCTAAATGTTTTTTCTTTTCCTTTGTTCTCAATAACAAGGCAAGGGAGAAGATAAGGAATATCCAACTATTGGGGCACGAATGATCAGATTAGAAGATAAGGTAGGCATGACACAGTATCTGTGTGTTTGGACTGATTAGATTAATTTATGTGTTCAGAGGACACAGCATATATGGTACAACAGCAGAACTGTTTTTACTGATATCTTTTCTGTGTCATCGGATGAGGAGGTGTTGTGAAATATTTTCATGACTCAACTTGTGCAGAACATGCAATGTTTACCATTGTCTGTCATGTGTTTTTGTTTACTGGGTAACGGTGCTTCTTTTCTGTTTCATGGAAATCCCTGCCAAGAAGTTGCTGCTGTAGAAATGTAATGTTTTTTTGTTTGTTTTTTTCTTTCTGCAAAAAAAGTTATCAGAGCAAAAATGAAGCTAAAAAGTGAACTATCTATTCAAGCATAACCAAAACAATCAGCTGTTTTACAGGAAGGCTGTACTCTTTAAGCTAGATTGCGATATTAACACTTTATGAAATTATCTTTAAGTTAGATGATACCTGCTCTGTGTTAAAACTGAAAATACTACTTGAGATACAGTATTGGAAGGTGGTTATTGGTTCGATAATATTAGGTTAGATTAGGTACACATTTTTAATAAATAAACCCAGTGATGAAGTGTACAAATGTCCTGGATCAAATCAAGTTCAACCACCTAAGAAGACGGATTCAATCCTATTTGGATTGAAGCAAGTCCTCTAATCAATATATCTAATGTGCCCGGTATTAAAACAGGAATTTGGGTTGTGTCAGTGAGTCAACCCTAGTGTCTTGATATGAAATGCAGTATACACCTTAGGGCTTATACAGGCAGTTAGAATACATTATTCTTCCTTCTAAACAGCAGGCATAAGGCTTTATATAATTTATATAATCAATGATTTTTTTATGACACATTACAGTGACAATTCAACCAGATAATGCAGTCAGATTGGTTTAAATTTTTCTATCTAAGCACAATCAGTTGATTGTATCGACTCATTTACTCTTCAGAAATTCCTCACACCAAGCATGTAGCGACAGTGGAGATGAAAACTCTATTTTAACAGCGGAACCAGGCTCTGTGTAAGCGGCCATCTGCAAAGGCCGACTGGGGTTCAAAGAGACAGAAGCTGACATACAGAAAGAAGCAGAGATACAAAATCAAGCAGCTCTATAGACGGCTCTGTCCAGGAAACCCACAGCCAGGCAGCTCAGAGCCACCTATCATATACTGTATGTTCGTTCATGCGATAACTCTTGAAAACAACATGGCAGTGATGGATGAAAACAGATTAGATACATCCCTATCTCCGCCATGGCTCTAGTCCTCATCATCGTGAATTAAATGTAAAAAATATTCTCCTCATTAATCCAAATATGTGGCGCCATTATCCTCCAACCACTCTTCCAGTCTGCTTCTCAGTCCAAGGCAGTACGGTCCAGTTGCAGATCACATGACTCATGTTATGCACAAAAGGTGTTGCAGTTTTGTGAAATATATATATAAAAAAAAGCCACCTCATTAAGGCATAAAAACTTTTGATCGAAAAATTTGAGTTTTTTCAATATTGCAGCGTTTCTACATAGCAAATTAATTTTCATAATAACAATAAGTGCAATTTAATGGTTAATAGAAATGAAGCAAGTAACATCACCCAGCATGGAGTAGATGAGCTTGACTGGCCTGCACAAAGTCC